ATTAGGTTAGGATGTAGTCTGGTGTGTGTGTGTGTGTATATATAATATATATATGTATGTATGTATGTATATGTATGTGTGTGTGTGTGTGTGTGTGTATATATATATATATGTATATATATATATATATATATATATATATATATATATATGTATATGTGTGTGTGTGTAATGTATTTGTATACATATAAACATACCATTTATTAAGCAACTGATGACAAACAGCTGCAAACATGCAATCGAAATAACGTAAACAAATTTTTGTCATGCTTGGCTGGACAGCTACGTTTGTGAAAATGAACACAACCGAATCCAGTTTATGCTGTAATGTTGTGGAGGTTAATCATTTATTATTTATTTGTTTGTTTGGAGGTTATCATTCTGTTTTCAGTAGAGCATCGCTCTTAAAAAAAATGTTTAATGTTTCTTTAGTAAAGAAAAGGGTTCTGTGTAGTGCCCAAAAGGGTTCTTCTGTTGTTACAAGCTTAACATTGTAACAATAGAAGAATCCTTTGTGGTGCTATATAGAAACATTTTCAAAAAGGTTCTATATAGAACCATCTACATCACATTCTCCATCAACCTGAAAAGCCATTTCATGATGCAGAGAACCCTTTAATCATGCAGAGAGTTCTTTGAGTGTTCATGGATCTATATAGAACCATTTTCTTAGAAGAGTAGAACTGATTTCCTTTAGATTTTGTCATTTGAAAACATTCTGCCCTTTGGTTTTTTTTTCCCTTCTTGTGAAAAGCTTTTCTCCTCTTATATGTACTTTAGGTGAGAGCACGTTCTTTGTGGAGCTCAGCGAGACGGCCAGTATCCTCCTTCATGGGACCAACCACTCACTCGTCCTCCTGGATGAACTGGGTAACGTTCACATTGTGACCTCTAACGTTATACTGCAATATTTAGATTACAAGAGGAATTAATTTCTCTTCAGATAGTCTCATTCACTCCAAAAGAAGGAGAGAAAAAGATCTGAGCATCACTTCATGACTTTGGCTCCAGGCAGGGGTACGGCCACCTACGACGGCACAGCCATAGCTAGTGCAGTGGTGAAGGAGCTGTCAGAGAGGATCCGCTGCCGGACCCTGTTCTCCACGCACTACCACTCACTGGTGGAGGACCACGCCCAGGACTCGGCTGTCAAACTCGGCCATATGGTGAGTTATTCATCGTCTGACAGTATTTCAGCGCTCAAGACTGCGACTAAAATGGTTGCATTTGTGACCACAATTATTAATTTGCATGTGATAAAATAAACTCGCCAGTGGCGCCAGGCAGCAACTTCGGATTATTATTATTTCCATGGGTAATTTTCTTTTGTTTTGTTTTGTTTTGTTTTTATGCTTTTTAAAAAATTTTTCATCTTAAAACGTAACTGATAGGCGGACACATTCATGTGACGCTATAGCCTCTCAAAAATCGCCTGCATGCTTCATGCTTTCAACCAGAGTGGCAAAATGTGACGAAGCAGATGAGCCGAGCTGGGCTTTTTGCAGTGAACGTCGGCGTGTAGAAAATGGCGAAGTGAAAAATATCAGATTTTTTCACACAAACTACGTCTCTGTCAGGCCTTTTGAGGTCATCTGCTCAACCCCGGTGTGACTCAGGACCAGTAAACCAGTGAAAGATGCACCCGTAGCACTTCATGCAGACGTACAACCAGAGAAAGATTTCAGAACTTCTTGGCTTTAGGAATTTGCATGTCTCAGATATGATAACATAAAGCAGACTATAATGCAAATTCTGTTCGAAAGCAGGCAAAGACACAGCTGGAAAAACGGATTTCTTAACAGGAACGAGTCATTTCAAAAACGAGACTGTGAAAAAAACATGGCGAGAATCGGATGCATAAAAATGCACGCAATGTCATTATCGCAAAGAGCTCCAACGGAAACTCCCTCAGCCCGCGCCGCGTCTCATACGTGCGAAAAATTCAAAGAGCTTAAAATTAATTCAACACAACCTACATGAAAGCACCTGAAGAACTACCCCTCACCAAAGTGACCTCCTAAATCTTGTGAATGGGAAAAAAAACAGACGTCTGTCTGTTTCAGGCACAGTGGAAGGCAGAGATGCTTTAATCACAGAACCGGCCTGAGGTGTGTGGACAAGCTTTATTTTTTGTGTATAATTATTGTTTGGCACTGAAAAAAAGCTGTTGGTGCCTGATTTTTTTTTCTCCTTTTACTTAAGCTGTCTTTTTCTGGAGCCCTGTATTTATGTAGATGAGGGGCAGAAATTAAGAAAAACACGTGAGGTTCTCCAGGTTAACTAAGAAAACTCTTTCACCTTTTGCCCTGCAACTATTATTATAGTCCTCTGATGATGTCATGACTCTGTGTTCATCATCATCCCCGTATCAGGAACTCCTTTAAAGATTTTCTTTTTTAGAAAAGTAAAGAAACGTGCTGTGTATTAAATGAACAATACCTGCTACTGAAATAGAGAGGTGGAGATGCAGCGATAAGGGTGGGAGTTACATAATAATAATAATAATAATAATAATAACAACAAATTTGGCCTTAACTTACATAAAGACTTCTGTTAATGACACTTAAAGTATTCATTTTGTTATATTTTTAAAAAAATGCTACTGCATCTGCCGCAGAGCCATAGATCTATCTCCCCTATAAATGTTTCAGGCCGAAACAAGTGTTGAAGATTATGATATATATACATATGAAGTTTAAATATTTTAACACACGTTGAGGTGGAAAAAGAACAGCGTATTCAAAGCATTCATGATATTACTTGTTCATTTCCGGTGTCAGTGTGTGAGAGCACTTAAGGGGCAATGAATATCAAACTGTAAATATAAACAGATATCTAAGTCTAGTTGGTCTGTGTTTACACTTGACCTCAGAGGAAATACTGAATAAGTGGGTGTCTGCAAACTGCCTAGACTAAAAATTATTTCCAGAGGTGATTCTCCACTGACACAGAAACGTAGGCCAGTATTCGGTTTAATCCATGTCCAGGAGACACACACCTAGTTTATATGCAAAGCTCCTAGTGTGTCTATGTATAAAAAACACTCTATAACTGAATGAATGAAAGAAACAAACGGTCAGGCATGCTGAGCAGTTTATCTTGGGTCTCTGATTTTCCTGAGAGACACTTTACTGAGAAGACAAAAACACAGTAGGATTTGGATCACCTGGCTGGTTGAAACCCCTTTTAAGATTGCGTTTTAATGTGACCTGCTCAGGCCTGCATGGTGGAGAACGAGTGCGAGGACCCCAGCCAGGAGACCATCACCTTCCTCTACAAGTTCATCAGTGGAGCTTGTCCCAAGAGCTATGGCTTCAACGCCGCCCGCCTGGCCAGTATCCCAGAGGACGTCATCCAGTCCGGTCATCGCAAAGCCCGCGAGTTTGAGAGGAGCACCGTGGCCCTGCGGATCTTCAGGTAGGGAAAATTTTTTTACACTCATAATGAAATGAAAAGTTGGGTTCTGCTATTGTTACGATGTCAAACCTGTCTACAGTAGAGGAACCCATTTTGCTGCTGTATAGAACCATGTACAGCACATTCTCCATCAGTCTGAAGAACCATTTCACCATGCAAAGAACCCTTTACACTTGCAAAAAGATTGTGTTCATGGTTCTCTATAGAATCATTGTCTTTACTAAAGAACCCTTGAAGAACCATCTTTTTTTTTAAGAGTGTTATAGAAGTTACTTATTTTATTTACATTCGTTTGGCTCAAGTCGACAAATGAGTCAGACTCGCATTATGCTTGTTACAGTACAAAGTGACTGAACAAAAAATGGTGATCAGGCAGTTGGGTAATTGTGAAAGGCCTAGGCGTAGTCACCCACTACCAGTGCCTCCCCTTCAGGTACGCACGTTACAGGTTCTGCAATTAGCACTTCTAACACTGCTTGTCTCAAACATGAGCTCATGCAATACTAATCCGGTGTGCATGTCAGAATTCTCTGTTGCTGGTTGTGTATTTAAACAGCAGGGGGTGCTACTGAGTGATCGTATCAGTGCAACACTGATAAATACTGTTGGTGTATTACAGATGTGTAAAATCCCAGCCTGACATTTTCTTCCAGTTCAAGCTCGTGGTAACAAAGTAAAGCTCCGTATCTGCAGGTTCAGGTGTTCAGTTTAGCAGTACCAGTACCAGTACCATAATCTTGACTCTCAGCACTTCATCTCTCTGGATTTGACATCGTCGCTGTTTGTCGTGTTGTGAGTGACGCAAAAGACACTTTGAAATCTGATTTGAGCTTCCAGAGCGTCCAGACTGAGACACATTTCAAACCAGCTCCAAATGTGGTTTAAATCTGTCTCTTTTTGCTGTTCAGACTATCAGTATAAATCTGGATACGATCTAGCTATGACGAATCAGATTTGGGCTGGCAGTTTGGACATCTGAAATCTGATCCATCTAATCATGAACTTCTGAGGAAGGTGATTAGCTGGAGCAGGTGTGACAGATTGTTGTTGAAACTAGACACTGCAGGAAGGGAGCTCTCCACGACCGGGGTTGGAGACCACTGCTCTAAAGTATGTGTCACGGGTCATTGCCTCATTAAATACACCTGATTCAGCTCATCAGCTAATTAGCAAGGCCATGAACTGAATCCAGAGCGTTAGATGAGGGTAGATGATCTCCACAGCACTTTGGCCCAGAAGGTCCCCTGTTTGACTTTCTAAAGTGTCCACATATCTTTTCATGGTCATTCTGGTCTATTTTGTTTGATCTATCAGAGCATTCATTATTATTTTTTTCTCTCTCTAGGAAACTCTGTTCCTTTGCCGAGGATCCCGCAGCTACCAGCATACAGTTTGCTAAGCTGGTTCAGACGCTCGGCAACCTGTAAGAGAAATGAGTTACTCTCCCCATGAGTTCTGTTCTACTGCAACACATTTTCACTGCTGACATGATCTAATAAAGTTTATTTTTAAAAATGAACACTTTTCCTCTTTGACTAGGAAATTAAACCTTTGATTAATTACTACCATCTACGTAATGGTTATTGAGTACTCCACAATATATTAAGTCTAGATGTCATGGAACATGCATACAATTCAGGCTGTATAAGAACCCACAGTCACCAAATACAGTTGGATGAGAAAGCCAAAAAGAAAAGAACAGCTGTATAGATACTTCTGAGCTTCGACACAGCAAGAAGCCGCTTTACATTTTCTCCAGCAACGTTCTCATTCCCTTTCGCCCGGGACGCTCAGAGAGAAGGCGACACGCAGTGATTTCACGAGACTGCTACTCTAGACGTTCCTCCAGCGGCTACTGGACGAGGAAACGTCAACAGCTCTAAGCGGAAGAAGGTCAATCTCAGGACTAGCCAGAGGAGGATCCTACAGACTTTTAAAAGAATTTAAAAAAAAAAACAAAAGAGGGGTAAAATTTTAAACATTCTAAGATCTACAAAGCATACAAACATCACTCCAGTCTCGTGAAAACACTCGCTCTAGCATTTAAACCAATTTTTTTACCATTTAAAATAAGACATTGCTGGAGAATAGTTAGTGTTTTTCATTTCTCTCTTTTCCTGATAAATCTCTTTCACAGAAAGAACATACATCCTGCAACATGAGTACAATTACAGTAAGTCTAAAAGGTATAACAACCCCTGAAATTAATATTTAATAAAATAAAATAAGAACACATTCAAGTACATTTAAGATTTTTGCTTGAAAATACAAAACTATGAGAAACATGAGAAAGGATTCAAATCAAATACCAATATTGTGTTTAAAAAAAAAAAAAAAATAAAATAAAAACTGCTGAAGTGCTGGGTAACTTATCCCCCATACATACACAATAGCGTGGCAATGGTTTCCTGGAGACAGGCGCTTAGGAAATAGTGAGAGCTTCCAGACGCTTTTCTGTCTTTTTCTCTCTTATGGCTCAAAGTTTTTTCTCCCTCCAGAGTCTGCGGCCACTTTTCCTCCTGTAGAGGGCGCCGTCTGTCTCAGGCCATTCGCAGGTTCTCTGCTGCGCCGTCCCAGCACCTGAAAGCGTTATTACCGTCCGTCTCTTTTCAACCGGTTGCATGAAAAGAAAGCAGGGGAAGCGCTATATCCACAGCAGAATGTTCTCTTTTTCTTTTAAATACAAAAGTCCTCATAACTTGCATTATGAAAGCTGAATTTTCTCCCATTTTTAAAGTGTTTGCTTTCATTTTTTCTTAAGTTGAAATTGAATTATTTCTAGAGTAATATCAGCACTGCACCGAGGCTGTAGAGTCTGTGGAGGTCGGCGAGACGTGCTCTGCCTCAGTTGTGCTGCAGCGTGTTGGACTCTATAGGAGGGGCGGAGTCGTACAGCGTGTCCGTGTCGTGCGTCGGCTCGCCGGCTAGCGTGCAGGGGTTCGACAACGTCCCGGCGCCGCAGTCGCAGAAAAACCTGCAGAGTAAAGAGACGGAAAATGGTAGCTTTAGAGGTCTGCGCTGACCGTCTGGATCTGCTAGAGAGAGTTTAAAGCTCTGCTGCTGGTTTTTAAAGCTCTAAATGACCTTAAAGCTCCTGACCGTCTGTTTATGATCTCAGATCTGCAGATTCTGACCTTCTGAACTCCTTCAGTAAAACACAGAAAACGTGGAGAGACTCTTTCAGTTATTCTGCTTCTAAACTGTGGAGCTCAGTTCAGCTTTTATTAGCCAGTCGAGCTCAGAGCTCACTTTTAATAAACATCTGAAAACACAGCTCTAACTTACAATAAAATTTCATAATTTGATCTGACATTGCTTTATGATTTTAATTTTAGTACTTGATTTCTTCTATTACTGTTAAGCTTCACCTGTCTATAATGCACTTTGTGCTGCCATCAATATAAAAACTGCTCTATAAATAAAGTTGTATTATTATTATTATTATTATTATTATTAAGTCACTTTGGAGCATTTCTATTGATCCAATCATTATGAAATCTTCATACAATGTAAAAAAATAGCTGCTGCACTCAAATGATGCAGAAAAACAGACTGAAGAAAAATGGAGATGCATATTTTTCTTTAGACAGCAATAAAATCCTAATGTAAGAAATTAGGATGCAAACTGATCAGCTCCCCTCTAGCTCGCCAGAACGCTTCCCAGTTTTAAACCGTGAAAAAGCACTTCAGGTCTCATCCTGGCTAGTTTTGGAAGTTTCAAACACAACAAATTAAATTCTCACCTTTTTCCTCCTATTTGTGCTTTGTTACAGAAATATCTACATTTCCTACATAGTTTTTGTCAAATTTTAAAATCTTTACCGTCTCGCATGCCTACTTGTCAAATCAAATGCATTAACCGGCTTAGCTTTAAGCAGGTGGTGCAGCGTGACTTGGGTTTAAAGAGGAGTCTGTGATTAATCGTTCAACATCAGAGACACGACGCATCCAAACATCAATTATAAACAGATTATTCTGGTTTAGCTGCGCTTGAAGCCGTTAAAAAATACCTGATGCAGACACTCTAACGTGGCCGATTTAATGCACCGAGATATTAAAAAGTGCCCCTTGTATGAAGCGTGGAACGCAGTACTGATAGGTGGAACCAGGCATGAATGTGTGTATGAAGTACACAGCCTGAAACCTTATTAAATCCTACGCAAGAACCCGGTTCTGTTTAAACAGAAGGGCTGACGACTACATTTGTGATTAAATGAACAAAAGTTGATGAAAGGACTGGAATATACATTGAGCTTGTGAAAGTTCCATATTCTAACGTTCTGAGGTTCTATTTACAGTCATTACTGGCCCAAGTTCAACAAACACGAGTAGGTTAGCGTTAGCTTTAGCTCAGTAGCTCTCCAAAGCTGTCTTTAGTCGCGTGGTCGTCTGTCTGTTGGTTTGCAGACGTTTGCTTCTGATGAGATGCATCGTTTGTTTTGTTTTTTTTGCTGTGCTTCAGTTTTTAACTGTCTGCGTTCAGACTGCAGGCAAATCGGATTTCCTTCTGAAATCAGATCTTTTGAGTCGACTGTACACTGTTTTTTGTAAGTGATCAGATCTGAGTTGTGTCCAGACATCACCAGTCTATGGCGATTGCATGGGTTGCCGTGGTAACGACGTAGGCATCAGTAACTACGTAGCTATGCTGGTGATGCGTATTTCAAACGCGGATGCGGGAGAGATGTAGAAGCATCATCTCGCCCTCCAAACTCTTTAGAAAAGAGACTCTGAAATCCGATTTGAGCGTCCAGAGCATCCAGACTGAGACGCATCTGTAAAAATTTGACTGGAGTCGCATTTCAAACCACCTCCAAATGTGGTTTGGATCCGATTTGCCAAAAATCAGATTTGGACTGGCAGTCTGAACTCACCAACCTTCCTCCTGAAGATCGTCAGTTCTGATCTGCTTCTAACAGGCTCCCACCACACTCAACCAACACCTGATTCAGCCATTCAAGGACTTCACAAGTTGTTCATTAGCTGAGGCAGCTGTGGCAGATTATGGTTGGAACTAGTCTTAGCAGGAACACAGACCTCTAGGACCAGGGTCAGTGGTTCCCAGCCTGGCCCCCCACAGACGGTCCACATTTTTGCTTCAACCCAACTTGCCTCAACCCAACTTGCCTCAAAAAGGGATGAAGGTTAAATGTGGGCCATCTGGGGGTCCTGAGGACTGGGTTGGTGACCACTGACCGAGAGCAACCCTCCTCCTGGACATCTACCTTGCTGCAGAGTTTAGTTCCAACACTAATACATCAGATCCAGCCAATCAAGAACTTGTGACGAAGTTAATGAGCTGGAGCAGGTGCGGCAGATTGTAGTTGGAACTAAACTCAGGAGGAAGGTGGAGCTCCATGAGCAGGACTAGAGACCACTGATCTAGAGGAACCACTTGCCTGTTGCGCCCTCGTGTGTACATTTCAAAAACACTGCTCATTATAAATGAAATAAGAGTAAATTTGTGTTTTTTTTAAAACTGATAACTTTAGTAATGGTTAAACATTTACATCCCTGGTCAGAACAGACATGAAATGGCAGTAAAGTAGTTCTAACACGGCGCACAGCAGAAGATACTGACCTATCGTGTCTAATAAACTCTACGTCGTGTCCTTGATGACACTTCTTGATGCAGTTCACACAGATTGCGTTGCGGTCTGTGGTGTTACAGGTGTGACATCTGCACAGAGAGGAGAAAAGGCCATGAAATTAGTTTGACTTTATAATCAGAAGCACATCAGAAACAGCAGGCGAGGTGAGGAGGCGGATTACCTGTAAAAATCGTGCATTGGATAACTGGTGTAACTGGAAATCTTGTACAGGCACTGACCTCGGCTCACGGCCTTCTCAATGGCATCCTGATTGTTCATTATTTTGTTGTCTGCAGAGAGGATTTAAAGACGGATCAGTATTTCAAATTATTCACACTGCCAACAACCAGGAGCCGCATTACAGAGACATCCTGACTGAAATACGTTTATTCACCATGACGACTTCAGTACAGACTGAGTTTAGTTCAGTAGCTGTTCCAGAATAACAGCTCCTGACTTCATAATCTCATCATGAACTCCAGATAAGAAAACAGCATCACACAAACATCCTAACTAGACTAAACCTCCTAAATCCTGTCCTAACTTTAGGATGAACCCCAACAGGGTCCTGAAGGGAATGTGGTGAGATATTTTTCTAACTCCATGGCTAAATAAATACACATTATACATACATACTTACATACATACATACATACATATACATACATGCATATATATCTCAGCCACAGCAGACGTGTTCCCTCCCACCCCCCTCATTACCTGTATGCGCAAATGTCAATGAAAACCTGCCAAATAAAATATTACAGCGATGGAGCTGAACATGTGGCCATTTATCAGGAGAAATAATGTTAGCGATGCTGGCTGAAGTCTTGCATTATGTGCGCACTCCTATTCTTAATCTTGATTTCTTCTTAATTTAATCTTAATCTGTATTCATTTTTTTATTTCAAGAGTAGCTCTCTAACATTCTTCTGATTGCTTGTAGTTCAGGTTTTCCTTACTTGCTAAGACGCTACAAGATGAAATAACTACTAAATTAGGATTTGCTTCTGTGATTTGAATTTGAGAAAACATTCTGATTTTTCCCAATTTTCTCCATAATTTAGTCATATCCAATTCCAACTACTAGTTAGGACCCCCCCAATCACACGGTACCACCAGCGCTAGGAGGGCAAAGCACCACTGCATCTTTTCAAACTGCAGCTAACGGAACATCATTGGACAGCTGAACACGCCTGGAGGAGAACACTAACTGCTGGTTCCGTTACATTAGCTAACAGACGCCTGCTCTGGCTAACGTCACGCTGAGTGATATGGGGGGAGACAGGGGGCCGTCCTGCCCACCCAGAGAGATCGAGGACAACTGTGCTCTGTCGGACTCCGGGCCACGGCTCTCATCTAACTCTCAGCTCGACTTTAGTTAAATTGAAGTTTCTGTGACGCGGCTGCTGGTCGGCTCATCGGGGAGGTTCTCAATCTTACCTTTCATCGTTACGTTGACTCCAGACGCAAGAAACAGCCCACCGAAGCGGTTGTTAAAAATCTGATTGCCCTCTAAGGTGGCAGTTGCGTGGTTTGTGATCTCGATACCTGTTAGACACACAGGAGTGATCAGTCAGAGCTGTGTTTACTCTGAGCTCATACACAGTTAAAATAACGAGTCCTACACACACCTGCAGCAAAGCCGTCGAATATCCTGTTCTTCCGCAGCACAGGGTGGCTGTTCGTACTGATGAGGACTCCAGCCTGAGCGTTCCTGAAGATGTCGTTCTCCTCCAGCAGCCCTGAGGAGTCAAAGACATCAGTCAGTAAAGCCACCGCATTACAGGCTTACCTGAACAACAGTCGCAATCTGGTGATACCATAATGCGACTGCACGTGGGGAAGCGCTCGTCAGCCAAAAACATTATCCGAGTAACTTAAATATTCTTAATTATGGCTTCAAAAGAACAAGTTAAAGGGCCCATATCCTACATTTTTCATTCTCATTCATTTTCTCTCTTGGGAACAAATTTACAGCACTTTTATGTTTTATGTACCAAAAACATTCATCATTCATGTCTACATGATCACTTTCAAACCTCTCTTTAATTCTCAGAATAAAACAGGCTGTTTTTGCTACTGCACCTTTAACACCGATATATGTAAATGAGCTCTGTTCTGATTGGTTGTGCTTCAGTTCAGACAGGCCGGGCCGAAACACTCCTTATAATATCAGCGAGAATGAGCGGAGCCAAACTGCTGTCGGCCGAACACGTGGATATCTGTAAATCAGTTCATGTATGTGTGGGCTGGAGAGCAAAAAGTTAGTTGAAACTTTAGCAGCGTTTATGTACTACATTGAACTCTTGAAATAATCAAATTAAAATAAATTTAAAATTATATATTTTTTAAAAAATTAGTAGTATTAACTTTTACAAGACATGAGCCCTTTAAAGATTTCTCCCCTATATTCAAGGATGAAATGTTTAATATCAAATCTGAAGTTATTTTAATTACTTGTCCTTAACTAGTACTCGTTCTGGCTGTATGTAAGAGTGGAGAGTTAAATATTTCAGCTCATCTTCGTCTAAGAGATGCCACCTATGATATTAACCGTTTATTAAGCTAGTGAGACACAGAAACGACACTACAGCGAGTTCACTAAAGAGCTCCAACCTCGTCCTCCGTTAAATATGCAGATCCCTCCGTCTCTCCCATCGTGGATTTTATTCCTGCGGAGTGTCGGGTTGCTGTCCGTCTTGATCCAAACTCCCGCCATGGCGTTGTCGAAGATCTCGTTGTCTTCTATGAAGCCCAAACCTGACAACACGTTAAGACGCACAATCACATCAACTGATAATTTCCTTTGTTCTCACTGATGCTGAAATGAATGACAACCAAAAGGCTTCATCTGTTTACCTGTCTATGTATTTATCCGCCACTTACTACAGAAACAGGCTTAGCACTCATTTAGCTCAGTATTCAATCAGAGGGCTTGTGAGAGGTTCTTTACCAGAGTTGTAAACAAGGATTCCACCGTTCTGCCCACCCCAGATCTTGTTCCGTCTGATTTTTGGGTTGCTTCCGGTCCTGCAGAGTGAAATGATCAAAGGCCACAAACAATATAAATATTCAAAAGCATATCAGCCTGAAAGAAGCTGAGCCAACACTGTTATCATGTGGGGTATATAATCATTAGGGGCAGGAAAAAAAAAGTCACTACAGTATAATATTGCACTATTTTGACACACATCAAATTCTTATTGTTTAATTTTTATTATTTTAGTATGTATTAAGGCCACTGCTAGACTAACAGATCACACAACTCTATCTTAATCCACTAGATGGCACCATTTCAGTCTGGTGAAACTACTCAAACTGTTTTTTGGGCTTTTTTCAATGGTTTGCAGGCACATGCAACGCTGCAATCACAAAACTGAGCGTATCAAATGTTTAAATCTGGGAAAAAAATCCAAAATATCATTTTAGATTCCCACTCCTAATAATCAATCACGCTGTCCGTGAGAACTGACCTGATCTGAACTCCAGAGTACATGTGGTTGTAGATGTCGTTGTCCTCCAGCACGCCATGTCCATTATCATAAAAATAAACACCAACCTGCGAACAAAATGAGGACGCAGACATTAAGATGAAGTGACCCTTATTAGTCCCACAACAGGGAAATTCCACCTCCGCATTTTGACCCATCTGTGCAGTGAAACACCCAATACACTAGTGAACACACACACTAGGGGGCAGCACACTTGTCTGGAGCGGTAGGCAGCCCTATCCACAGCGCCCGTGGAGCAGTTGGGGGTTAGGTTCCTTGTTTAAGGGCACTTCAGTCACGTACTGTCGGCTGAGGGGATCAAACAGGCGACCTTCAGGTCACAAGGCTGGTTCCCTGACCTCCAGCCCACGACTGCCCCATGACATGATGTTCCAGACATGATGCTGGGGCCCCGTGGCGATAATGTAGACATAAAGAGATACAGATATACATGTGCTAATGACATAAATGCCATTTTGACTACAAACTGCTGAAAACTACACACTTACAAAGATGTCCCTTCAAGGGTTCTTTGGTTCTGTATAGAAACATGAACACTCATAGAACTCTTTGCATGTTTAAAGGGTTCTTCGCATTATAAAAATGTTCTTCAGTTTGATGGAGAATGTGCTGTAGATGATGCTATATGGAACCTGTATTAAAAAGGGTTCTATAGGGCACCAGAAAGGGTTCTTCTATTGTAACAAGCTTGACATCTTAACAATAGAAGAACCCTTTTTGGTGCTATGTAGAACCATTTCCAAAAAGGTTCTATACAAAACCATCTACAACACATTCATCAACAATCTGAAGAACTCTTTGTGATGCAAAGAACCCTTTTACCATGCAAATGATTCTTATGAGTGTTCATGGTTCTCTATAGAACCATTTTCTTTACTAAAGAACCCTTGAAGAACCATCTTTAAGTGTGTACACAAGCTTTACTACTGCCACCTGCTGTTTAAAGTGGTAATTCAGAAAAAGAATAATTAAATATCAGGTTCCAGATTTCTCTGGATGCCCCAAAGCCACTGTATGGACGTATTAAATTCCATCAGCAGCCCCTGATTTAACATGAAGTATTGATTAGATAAAGTATCTGGTGATGATTAGAATTAAGTAACCTTCCTCGAGGAGGGCAGGAAATGACAATAAACACACCGACACATAAAATCACTGCTACTTGTATCACTATTGTTTGTGTTTACTGTAATATCAGTGTTTTTCACTGCCCAGTTAAATAGGTTTTTGAATTTAATTTTAAACTGAATCATTTCTGGAATACTGATTTCTAAACTGGGTCATGGCAGTAAAGTAAAATCTATTTTTGTGCTTTTTCTTAGACAGATTAACTGATTTTGAGAGGAAAGCTGGAGGTTTGTATTAGTCCTGCTGTTGGCTATGCATTTCTTCCTTTAAGGCAGTGCAGTGTTTATTTGATTAGTATGAGCAAAATACCTTTAGATGACCATCTTCAATTAAAAATGACTCTTAAAATAAAAACTTAATATCGTATTACAGACTTGATGTTTTGGACTTTGTGTTTATGCCCACCGCTCTTCTTAAACAGGTCTAAATGAGATGTACTGCTGTAGGTGTGGAGGTAAGGTAGCTGTACCTGCTTGCCGCTGTGGATTCTGTTCCGGCGCAGGACTGGCGTGCTGCCTGTGGTCACCCAAACTCCGGCCAGCGTGTTGCTGTAGACTTCGTTCTCCTCGATCACGCCCTGGCCTTTCTCATGCTGCCATACAGACACAAATACAGGGGCTTCAGATGAAGGAGGTCTACACAGACCTATACTCTGCTACCTGACCAGGTCTGATTTTCAATGTCTGACACTGAACTTGGTTTTTACGAGCGAATAACGTATTTTGAACGACTCAGAAATAAAGGAGCTGCTGGACGATCGTGTTGATACACCACATCCTGTTTAACAAGATCTTAATGGCCGATATGAACACTGCGTTCCTGCTGAGTGAAGAAAATGGTGCTATATAGAACCATGAACACTCAAACAACCCTTTTCATGATTAAATGGTTCTTTGCATGGTGAAATGGTTCTTCAGACTGATGGAAAATGTGCTATAGATGATTCTATATAGATCCTTTTTGAAATGGTTCTACATAGCACCAAAAAGCGTTCAAGAATCACGTTTTTTGCATGAGTGAAGTGATGGTACAGCAGTTAAATCTGTTCTCAGTAGATTAGTTTGATAATTCCATTAATTTCTTAATTGTTCTGCTCTGAATCTCCTGCTGAATGAATCCACGAAGGCAGGTTTAACGGACTATCACTCTATATCAGCCGAGTCAGTTTTTAATGAATTACAACCAAGCTACAGAAAAACAAGACAAACAAACAAAAAACAAAAGATTTACAGGGTGGATCATTAAAGGATAAACTGTACAAAGGTAACGCCCTAATGAAGCCGGCAGTCTGACACCTGCACTAATGTAACACTGATGATCTACACCGATCAGACATAACATTCTGACCACCTCCTTGTTTCTATGCTCATTGTCCATTTTATCAGCTCCACTTACTATATAGGTGCACTTTGTAGTTCTACAGTTACAGACTGTAGTCCATCTGTTTCTCTGATACTTTGTTAGCCCCCTTTTACCCTGTTCTTCAGTGGTCCGGACCCCCATGGACCCTCACAGAGCAGGTACTATTTGGGTGGTGGATCATTCTCAGCACTGCATTAACACTGACGTGGTGGTGATGTGTTAGTGTGTGCTGTGCTGGTCTGAGTGGATCAGACACAGCAGTGCTGCTGGAGTTTTTAAACACCTCAGTGTCACTGCTGGACTGAGAATAGTCCACCAACCAAAAATATCCAGCCAACAGCGTCCTGTGGGCAGCGTCCTGTGACCACTGATGAAGGACTAGAGGATGACCAACACAAACTGTGCAGCAGCAGATGAGCTATCGTCTCTGACTTTACATCTACAAGGTGGACCGACAAGGTAGGAGTGTCTAATAGAGTGGACAGTGAGTGGACACAGTGTTTAAAAACTCCAGCAGCACTGCTGTGTCTGATCCACTCAGACCAGCACAGCACACACTAACACATCACCACCACGTCAGTGTTAATGCAGTGCTGAGAATGATCCACCACCCAAATAGTACCTGCTCTGTGAGGGTCCATGGGGGTCCGGACCACTGAAGAACAGGGTAAAAGGGGGCTAACAAAGTATCAGAGAAACAGATGGACTACAGTCTGTAACTGTAGAACTACAAAGTGACCCTATATAGTAAGTGGAGCTGATAAAATGGACAGTGAGTGTAGAAACAAGGAGGTGGTCAGAATGTTACGCCTGATCGGTTTGTATTCCGGGACTAAAAAAGATTTGTTTTCAGATACAATCAACTACAAAACATTTTTTGATTGACTGTCAACCCTTTTCACTCACCACATAAATGCCCCCGTGCTGTCCATCATGGATTTTGTTGTGCCGGACAATCGGGCAGCTGTTGGTCCGGATCTGAATTCCGGCCAAGGCGTTACCATAGATATCGTTTCCTTCTATGAGACCTCGACCATCACCAAATATGTAAACACCACCTTGGTTGCCATTGAAGATTGCGTTACCCCTGCAAACAGACAAGAAAGGCTATAATTATAGATCCACAAAGCAACGAAGATCAAAACCATGTGCCTGAATGGCTGCCTGACAGGAGCTGTTCTACTCAACCAGTGAATACATATAAAAGCCCAGAGCTGCATCAGCAACTCAAGATCTAACTAGGAACATAGACAAAAAAATCTGTGACCGATCCAGATGTTAAAGGGCCTAAAAATACCAATAACTGGTTTTATAACCATATTTGCATATGCAAAAAACACCACAGGTCAAACAACGTTTTGTTGACTTCTTTAAGTGAAAATGAGCCAAAACATCTTAAAACCTTGAAAAGAACTTAAATATGGCAAAGCTAAAATTTGAAAAGCTAAAATTTGAGAAAGTTTTATAATTTAAAAACAGCCAAAGGAAATCGGTAGGTTTTCATGTTGGACGAGTAACGGAGCTGCCACAGCTAACGGGTAACACTGGACGCTGATGGAGACTCGCCATTTTTCCTCTGCAAGGCCACTTTTTTTATCCTAATCTAAGTTTTTAATTTGATTATTATAAACTATCCTAATTTAATTTTCTCTTTAAAATATATTGTTTTAATCATGTTTTAATTATGTTTTTAATGTTTTTTCTATTCGCATTTACTTTTTTTTAAAACAAGTTTGACTATTTTCTCATTTGTAAAGCACTTTGAATGACAGCAGTGTTTGAAGGTGCTCTATAAATAAACTTGCCTTCTACACGGTCTTTTCTCCTCAGTGGGCGACGCACCAACAGGTTAGTTTGTCAGAAATATATTTCACTGACAAATATATTTCTCAATTACGAGCAAAACTAAATGCTAAAAATAAAACTTGAGCCTGTACAGCATATTGTTCCTCTTTCTGGGATAAATCGCAACAAATACCCAAACAGTAATTTCTGTCTTCCAGTACCGGAACCATGAACAGTTAAGAGAACTGGAGCACCTGTAAACATCCCTAATGTCAACACAGTTTACTGACAGAGGTGATCAACCCAGGACACACATGATGGTTAGAAGAAGCACTGATGATTTACCCTTTAATACCCCACATTCCACACATAGGTTAGACACTACACCCTTAAAAAAAATGGTTCTTGAAGGGTTCTTTAGTAGAGAAAAGGGTCCTACACAGAACCATGAACACTCAAATGATTCTTTGCATCGTGAAATGGTTCTTCAGACAGATGGAGAATGTGCTGTAAATGGTTTTATATAGAATCTTTTTGAAAAAGGTTCTATATAGCACCAAAAACCCTTTTATAGAACCATATGCAGTAGATTCTCCATCAATCTGAAGAACAATGTCACGATGCAAAGAACCCTTTAATCATGCAAAAGCTTCTTTGAGTGTCCATGGTTCTATTCAGAACCAATTTGTTCACTACAAGACCCTTGAAGAACCATGTTTAAGAGTGTATGTGAGGGTCCTTATTCACTAATCGTTCTTATGAAGAAATTCCTTCTTAAACCCACTTACGCAGTTCTGACGACGACTCTGACTCACCAGTGTTCTCTTATGTGGGATTTGTTCTCAGGTAAGAACAGAATCTACACACACTCAAGAGCACAAAGGTGAGAACGGTTCTGCGCTTTAAGAACACGTCATGAATCTGACGTAGACTTTTTCTTAGGACCTTTCTCAAGTCACAGTTAAGAACGGACTGAAGGCTCACCTAATTGTGGGGTCACTGTTTGAGGTAATCCACACGCCGGCGAAGTTGTTTGCATAGATCTTGTTCTCAATGAACTGCCCTCTGCCCTTTTCATGCACATAGATGCCCCCCGTCTGGCCATGGTGGATCTCGCAGCGCACCACTGTCGGGTTTGCGTACGCCTTCACCTCGAAGCCTGCTATCCGGTTCCTATGGATGTTGCAGCTTTCGAAGTAGCCCTGTAGGGGCAAGCAGAGAGTAGCATACAGCAAAAACACAGCAGAGGAACTTCACATTTCTCCTAAAATAACTCCTAAACCTTCAGGCTCACGGTTAAGGACACCGGCATGGTTGGGGTGGGGGAGGGGAAGAATCATCATAAATTTACATGTTTTAAAAGGAGGCGTATTCTGAGCTCCGGTTTAATCCCCTTATGTAATCTGAGCAGTGACGGCCCTCCTGCATTCAATGGATTAGAGCTGAAAACGCCAACGTTTCACTTCTCAGCATGACGCAGTAACTTCCCCGAGTTATTCTGCTCGGGCTGCAGGTTCAGAAAGGGATCACGCTGTGGTTACGCAGAATGTCGTAGTTACCATGCCGTGGTCGAAGGTGAAGACTCCCACATCTCTGCCATGGTGGATGTGATTTCGTCTGATTATGGGGTTTCCATGATTCTTCACCCAGATCCCAGCTAGAGCATTATTGGAGATCTCATTGTCCTCATAAATGCCCTAGAAGAGGAGAAAATAAGAGTGAGTTAATGAAAGCCAGCAATGCCATTCTCCAGGAACTGTCCCAATACACTGTTTTTTAGTTTTAGGTCTGATAAACATTATATCCACAATTTCTATCCCATCTATGCTGGTGGGAATAAACCATGTAAGGCTCCTCAGAACAAAACAGATAAATATAAATAAGGTTTACAAGCTTTTATATAAAAGTTTCACTGCACATTCAAAAACAAGAGCTGACCCAAACAGGAACCAATGCCACTTACGGTTCTAGTTTCCCATTTGCTTGAGGGAGGACTGGAAGCGCCATAATAATCCTGACTAATAATTTGTATTTTTGGTCAATTTTGTGCTGTGGATTAGCATTTCAGTCAAAGATGACAGATGAATTCAAGCATTATTAAAAACTATTCGAATAATACCTCTCCCCAAAAATTGAGCGCATATATGGAAATATACCTTCCTGTGTAGCAAGGCTGATCAATATTTTATATACACACACACACACACACACGTCATGATACATTTACAATACATTATGCTTTTCTGAACATATGGTGTATTTCGTACTTCTAGAAACTGATCAAATGCATGTTTGCTTATAAAGAGAGCAAAATTGCACCAGTTTAACTGGATTTAGTGAGAAATACTGAATACCAATCACTCAGCATTGTCAGCACTGCAGTAACACTGACGTGGTGGTGGTGTGTTAGTGTGTGTTGCGCTGGTCTGAGTGGATCAGACACAGCAGTGCTGCTGGAGTTTTTAGACACCTCAGTGTCTCTGCTGGACTGAGAATAGTCCACCAACCAAAAATATCCAGACAACAGCGTCCTGTGGGCAACGTCCTGTGACCACTGATGAAGGACTAGAGGATGACCAACACAAACTGTGCAGCAGCAGATGAGCTATCGTCTCTGACTTTACATCTACAAGGTGGACCGACAAGGTACATCAGCACTGCTGTGTCTGATCCACTCGTACCAGCACAACACACACTAACACACCACCACCATGTCAGTGTTACTGTATATGTGTAGATCTCCAGCAGGAGGCTGGTGACCACTGATCTAAGGTCTTTAAGATACAGACAGACTTCATCATCTGTGGGCTGAATCGATGGATATTTGTAAACATGCTGGTTCTTGTGACAACACAGAAACAATGGGCTGTGTTTGCAGCTTAGTTTCCATATATGGACTGGATGTACTGGAGAGTGAATGGTACGTTTTGGAGCTTTTAACACAGACGACATCATGATTTATTACAAGAAATTTCAATGATATGGGATCTTTAAAACAAGTGAAAATGTCCTGATTCATATCATAACTACTCACAAAATCATAACCTGAAGAGTGACACTCAGTGCTTTCTAAGACAAGTAATCTTCTCACAGTAATAAATAAGGTCCACTTCTTTAATAAGAGATCATTTAAATTGCCAAGATCTCTTTTTTGTGATGTAGACTGGAGATACCATGTTACCTGTGCGTGGTCAGTGATGTAGAGGCCTACGTTCTCACAGTCGCTGATGTTACAGTTTTTGATGGTGGGACACGCCCCCTGACCGCTCACGCATACTGCCGAACCCACTGCAGAACCAGAGAACAGAGTTAGTGCCAAATGCATCAAGATCCAAAAAACAGATGCATTAAAACACTGGAATCCAGAGATGTAGGTCTTTGTGTTGACCTGTGCATGTGCTGCGGATGATGCAGTGGTCGATGATGGGGCTGCAGTTGACCGTGATCTCTAGACAGTGGTGTGCGTTATGATGCTGAGCTGATTTATCATCAGGGTTGAACTGCAAGGAAAGAAAACCACAGTCAGGTCATTCAACATGAAAAGCCTCTCATTTCTTTCACTTTATGGTTCTTAATTCTCGCAGTATTTAATTCAAGGCAGCTCAAATGAAGGGAATCATACCTTTATTGTCATATAGCCGACATAAGCGTCTTCTGACCCCTCCATGAACACGAACGTTGAATCTCTAGTGTTCTCGATGATTACTTTGTCTGCTACTTTCCCTGGTGCTGGGAGAATTACTCAGATTAGAACGGGTTACAATGTCAATCATTCCCCAGAGGGTAAACATACAGTCATATGCATTAGTTTGTGCACTGCTGGTCAAATTACATGTTTTAAGTGAAAAGTTCTCTTCAGAGAACAAAGGTATGCACATTTTAAAGCTGCACTCTATGTTTTGGGGATTTGGAGCCCTCTCTGGTGGAAATGTGTAATTGCATGGTGCATGCAGAAGAACATTTTGTAAGGTGGGTTGGCTTCGGACCCCGTCCACGAGCGGATGAACTTAATGACTGAAAGAGAATTCTAAGAGAACTCAGTCTAAACTTGGTGAAGGAGCGTCTCTGAGGATGTGAGTGCATTATCTACTATAGTCATCATATCTTCATCAGTATGATGCTGATTTTGAGATCATTTGAGGCTGAAACACAGAGCCAGACCTTCTAACGTCTGTGTGTGACGTTAATATGTAAAGATGTATGACGTGGTGTGAAAAGCTCAACACCTCTGAGTTTTAAATGATGATTTCAGGTTTTACAGGGCGACTCACAGCAGTGCACGCTCATCATAATTTAGACTGTTTATTTTCTCCTCATTCAGTAATGATGCTTCTTTCAGTTTTAACAACAAATCTTACACAGCGCAGCTTTAATGCAAAATTACTGTTTAAGTGCTGAATTTAACAGGGAGGAAAAAGGTGCAAAATTTAGGGCACATTTTATGTTTCATTTTCTTTCAGCAGAGAAAGACAATTAGAACTGGCATATAATTTTGTTCCCTGTGCTAAAGGTAAATTTGAACACTTTTCAAACTGTCTGCAAAATTCAATCAATGAGATGTAAACAGTCATTCAGAATGGTCTGGTGTGAAATGGTTGATTCTAGAGACTCAGATTTCATTATAGTGGTGGTAACAGGAACCAGGGGTTGCGATATTTACCATGTGAATACAGCTGTTTTATTTGCTATTTATGTTCCAAAATGACCTGTAAACGTCCACATTAATTTTTAGATGTAATTGTAATTAGACGTAATTGTAATTGGGTCCTTGTAATGCCTTGTATGGATCTCTCGGTCATTTATATACTTTCAATAATACACTTTAGGCCAAAGCCTTCTCACAATTATTATAAAACAGTGTCTCAGTCATCAGGCAGTGAATTCATAACCATTTCATGTAGGAACTTTCTGTGAGGGAGCTTTTAGAGGTGGACGTCTGGTTCCTATCACCACCACTGTGAACAGTTCTGACTCGGTAAGTTTGTCTAGAACGGAGCGTTTCACACCAAACCACTCTGAATGACTAACATCTTAAGGATTTAACTATGCAGAAGCTTTGAAAAATGGGAGGAATTCTACTTTAACACAATGTCTATTTCCATGCAAAGATTTTTGCCAATCCGATTGAAAACATTTTGATTACAGATGAAGACTGAAGTGTTTATATTCTCATTCTGCTCAACATTCTGATGGAAACTCTCCGTTTACATGCTCACTACAAATAATCAGATCCAAAATGACGCGCATTCGTAGAGAACCGCTTAGTGTAGACGTTACCATGACAACCAGCATCACGTGTGTCCAGTCAGAGTGAGATGAGCAGCAGTGAGCAGTGCTTGTGTTTTTAATTGCTTTAAAATGATGTCAGACTCAGGAAAACGTCCTTCACATGTCCTTATTAAAGAAGGCCGAGAGGAAGACGTCGTGTTCTGAGACACATAAGCTGGACGTCCGTCCCACCGCCGTCTTTTAAAGACCAGAGCATAAACTTCGTCTCCTCTGCAGACCAGTTTCTGCTCCGCCATGTTGAATGGTATAAACTTTCACTATGACGCGACGAACATGATCAGAACGGACATAAACTTTCCGATAGGGAATGTAATCAGATACAGGCGTTTACACGGATATTATTCTTCTATTTAACAGATTATTTACAGGATTACCCACCTCGATCAATCAGGCAGAAACTGTATTCCGAATGGCCTCAATCGGACTAGACCATTCTGACTGAGGTGTTTACATGGACGTAATCTATTCTGATTGAGCTATTAGTCGGATTATTAACGGATTATTAGGCTGCATGTAAACGTGGCTAACGTGTAATTTGACCACGGGTAGCCAAACATTCGTACACATCTGTGTGTCAACACATACATACCTGCACCAATCATCGTGATCGGCGACTCTATGTAGATCCACTCGTCTGTGTAGATGCCTGAGTGGACAAATATCAGCCCATCAAAGTGAGCCTCCTGGACTCCTCCTAAGGCGTCCTCAATGGTGTCGTAATACTTAGGAAGGAGGAGAGAAGAAGAAGAGGTGGGTTAAACATCCAAGCAATCAAAAATATAAACAGACCTCAGAGGGTAAGATGACTCAGAGTCTTCACAAATGAATTCTGGAGCTTACCAGCATGTTCTCTCTCCCTTTGTATCTGGCAGGGTTACTGTAAAAGTGTTCTGCAAAGCCTGGCTTCACATGCGCTCCCTTATACTGAAAGACATGCAAATCACACTTCAGTTAGCTCCCGTCTTACAAGGAGACGCTGGCAGACACAGAGGAAACCCTGACCTGACCTGAATAACCAACTACAACTCGTTTAAAAGGCACTCGTGAAGACTCACTGTGTCTTTTAAAGACATCAGAGCCGTATTACAGAAACATCCTGTCTTTAGTCCTAAATTAAGATCCGACAGATCAAGATAAGATTTTTAATTTAGATCTTAAATTTAGGACGCATATCTTCCAGGATCTTTAGTTAGGAAATCTTAAAATACATGATCGAAGTCAATATGTCTGTTACCTAGCAACTGGCAATATGCGCACAGCAGAAGCGTAAACAAGTATTCAAAAGTAATGTTAAAAATGTTACATAGTTAGCCAGACAGCTGCTGTTACTGATGTAAAAAAGGTCAAACTAAATTAAAGGGTGATAAACTGTAAGTTGTGAATACTGTGAGAGCGCCCCCTGCTGTTTATCAGAGCGTCACCGCTCCCCAGTTTCAGTCTCCATTTCCCAAACGCTTTAGCCGAGCGCGCTAACGTTACTCCTCCTAATAAACAGTATATAATATATATATATATATATTAAAAACAAAAAAACACAAAACAGCAAAAAACAAAAAGCATATGTTTCTCCCTGTTCTCCTCTACATTATGTGATTTACCAAATTCTCAAACTAAATGCAAAACAAAGCAAAACAGGTTCCTCACATTCAGGACTCTCTTGGGGAAAACAGAGACAAATAAAAAAAAAAAAAGCAAAGTCCAATCTGATAAGTGTGACTACCAGCTGCTGAAAGCTCTCCTTCCAGGGGTTGGGCTGCTCATACTCCTCTGGGTTGATCTGGTAGAACTTCCCTGACTCAGGGTGCATCATGGGACGGGTGTACTCAAAAACCTCCATGTAGAGTCTTTTCCTGTTGAACAAACATTTTAAAAAAGGGACATTTTTATTGAGCTAACAATTTTATCAATTATCCACCAAATTTATGTGGCTGTACACAATTTAAAACCCTTTTTGCATGCTGCCAAATACATGTGGGGTCCTGGATTAATTTCCCTTTTTAGAGACGTTTCTCAGACTTTGTTTCCGTCTGGATCGGCCACATCAGTGTTTTTCTCCCTCCTCCCCTGAGAAAATCACAGGCTGAATCACCTTCTGCTATCCATCCCACTCAGCTTTGCTCTGATCATTTTAGTCATTGTTTATTCTCTGCTTGTCGGCGCTCTTCCATTCACATTTCCGCTCATGTAATTGTATATGGTTCATTAAAAAATGTTTACACTTGTGTTAAACATGGTCAGATTAGTTTCTGACCAACTCCGAATGTGGTGTGAGTGATATGATCGTAGACAGATCAAAATGCGTCCTGGGTGTGTTTACATCAGGCATTCAAGTGAAATCCGAATGAGTTGATCACCAAAAATGCATGTTAATGTAAAGTGTAAACAGGCCAATAAGGCAAAAAAATGGATTTGTGCCTCTTCAGCCTGGCAATGTGAACGCAGCCTTTCAGCCTCACGAAATTGTCTTAAAAAAAGAGTTTTTTTTTTTTCTTAACTTTGTTCTTAAGAAAAGTTGGGAGAAACTGTTGTTCTTCAAATAACTTCTTAAGAATTATTTTCTTTTTTTTAACTATTTTCTTAATAATTCAGAGAACAAGTGCAATTTTGAAAATATGTTCTAAGCATTTTCTAAGTGTTAATATTGAAGCAGAGAGCTGATCAATGATTGATCATGGTGACAAAGCTTGTTCTGCTGGTTAGTTTGTTCATGATGCATGTAGTTCATTCATATGACGTTATTGATTAGGACGTGCGCCTGAGGGTGCCATGAGGGTTGTTTCAGGACTTAGCCTCACATTAATGACAGATCTGAATCACTTACTCATGACTTGGTCATTAACTCGATTTAAAATGATGGAATCTGAGCGAAAAATCGGAACTGAGCAGGTTTTTGGAATGATTCTCGTGAGCCATGCTGCTACATTCAGAACCACAGAGCAGGAAACCCGTCTCACCACAGGATGGGATCATTGGCCAGTTCACTGAAGCGTTTGCACACACAGGCGGCTCGACACAGATCCTGCTCCAGCAGGTACGAGAAAATCTTCAGCACTACCTCATCTGGGAGCTTCACCTGCAGGTACTGCTCTGCTGGAGCAGCTGAAGGAGAAAAACAGAGTGGTTTTCTTATCAGATCCTAACAGGCTGCATTCATCATCCTCTGCTTTTATTATGCACACTGAAAGAACGAGGCCTCTGTCAACACTGAGGCGGCGTTTCCTTTACCTGGCAGGTCCTGCGATTTCCCTGACACTCTAGCACGCTTGGCCCGATGACCAAAGTTTTCCGTTGTTGACGTGGAAGCCCCCTACCAGAGCAAAACACCAAAAAACAGTGCAACAGTGTGAGATACTGTGGACTTTTCAGTGGCCATCTCATCAAACGGACTTATCCTAGATTCTTCTCACGTTCTACGACCCTGCATGTTTATTCTCTTCACTTACTACATTCATTTTATGTTTCTAAAATAGAGTTCTCATTATCCCTCATATTACACAGGCTTCTTTTTGTTACTGTGCCTTTAACAATGACATATGTAAATGAGATGTGTTCTCATTGGCTGCCTCATTCAAAAAGCAGTGCTGGCTGAAACTCCTTATAACAGGGGCGCACAACTCCAGTCCTGGAGGGCCAGTGTCCAGCACAGTCTGGTGATTTACCTGCTTTAACACACCTGATTACACTTATCTGTTGATGGCCAGGTTAAGTGGGTGTGTTTGAGTAGGGGAAACCTCCAAACTGTGCTCAACAGCGGCCCTCCAAGACCGGAGTTGCGCACCCCTGCCTTACAATTTCAGTAAGAATGGGCGGAGCTAAACAGAAGTAGGCTGAACGTAAACGTTTTTTTTTGTGACAGTTAAGTTTCCATATTTATGGACTGTGTGGACTGGAGAGTGAACAGTAACAGTGTTTACTTACTACATCAAAGTCTTTTACAATTTTATGCCAAAAACAGTGAAGTTGTTTTTCCATAATATGAGCCTTTTAATGAGCACATCACAGAACCATCAGTCGATGAAGTCAAGACAAAGTGAGCAGATATTCTCCAAGCAAATAAAACCAACATGATCTGACAATGAAAACTGAACAGTAAGGATAAACACACCTTGTCAGTTTTCTACTCGAACACTAATAATGCAAATACTTGCCTCCATATTTGTCTTTGCTGGACAGGCGGTTCTCTTGGGCAAAAGGGACTTTCTACGAAGTTGGTATGGACTGTTCTGAGCTCCTGGACCAGATTCTTCAGCGACCATGTCTGCAGCCACCTCCTCATCTGGGGGAAAATAAGAAAGGTCATTTATAGCATTTATAGACTTCATTACAAGCAACAACTCAGCGTGCACTGGTCTCAACTGGAACCAGTTCTAAAGTGGAATCGCACGCATCCCAAGTTATAAATTGCTTATTTCAGTGTGGAAAACTTAAAAGGCCCAAAGCACGGCTTCATTTCACAAAGAAAGATGACACCAGTGCTGCTTTGCGGTGTCTGTAAAATGATCATTTCAAGTAAGAGTGGAAACACTAGGAATATGCCGAAATCCGAAATTCCAGGAATGTTGTATATTTGACACACAGAGCGCCACTGCTTCCCAACCGAGCATGCTGGTACCGAGGGTGAATGTCCTGTTATAATACAGGGTGATTCAAACAGATTAATCCGATTTTAAAATGATTTATTTCTCTTGTAAATCATTACAGAACAATCTGTCTCATCACTCAAACCACTTCAGGAGGTGGACTGAGACACATTTGAGCCACGTTATAGCAGCGTAAACACATCCGTCTCTCCAAGACACATTCAACACCCAAAGCCCCTCCCAATACAACTGAAACGCCTCCCGGTAAAATATTACACCTTCAGTCAAGTCTTGCAGATACACTCAGAATTTAGGTGATGTCTGTTCATAAAATAACACAGTAACAACAGCGCATTTTCATTTTTGGTCCACTTTCCATTCCATTCACTCAAAAAAGAAGCAGCATCTGATGAAAAGAACACTGTGCCAACTGTTTGTGTGGAAGCGTCACAGGAAACACTGCACAGGTAGATGGAAAAATGAACTCCACTAAATTCCGGAAGCAAATGTGACAGTCAATCAAGAAACTAAGGCTGAAAAGAGGCTGGCTTTCAGAACAGGACCATGACCCGAAACATCATGGAACCACCATGAGCTACTTTCAGCAACGCAAGCTGAAGCTTCTGGAACGGCCAGATCTGTGGACAGATCTTAAACATGGCTTAGTTTCCAAAAAGCATTAATGTTAAGGTCATCTTAACTGGTAGAGAGAGCGTTCAGTGTGATGCTCGCTCACCCATTTAAGAATAATCTCTGTTAAGATGCTTTCAGCAAATCCAGCCCAGAACTAGAAGCGTTCTGGAGGGAAGAGTGGGGGAAATTAAATCTGAACAGAAAGACTCCTAGCTGGCTACTGAAAGTGTTTGCAAGCTGTAATAAGGGCCAAAGTGGGAGTACTAAGCACGCAAGGAAGTTACTGCACATGCTACAATTATTGTTAGTTATTTTTTCCCCCATTTTTTTTCAGTTAATCAAATATTTACTCACTGAGCGCTTCACTAAGTCCACCTCCCCATATCTACACTCATTGTCCACTTTATCAGCTCCACTGACCATAGTTTCACTTTGTAGTTCTACAGTTACAGACTGTAGTCCATCTGTTTCTCTGATACTTTGTTAGCCCCCTTTTACCCTGTTCTTCAGTGGTCAGGACCCCCATGGACCCTCACAGAGCAGGTACTATTTGGGTGGTGGGTCATTCTCAGCACTGTAGTAACACTGACGTGGTGGTGGTGTGTTAGTGTGTGTTGCGCTGGTGCGAGTGGATCAGACACAGCAGTGCTGCTGGAGTGCTCTTATATGGTAAGTGGAGCTGATGAAATGGACAATGAGTGTAGAAACGGACATCAACTTTTATTTTTTACTTGGAAAACTTAAAGGGTGTCCTTTAAATGGAATTTAATCAGTTTAAAATGAACAGAACTACAACTACACACAAACATAAATGTATATATTTCCATGCACAAAGAGGTCATTTGTCCAGGGCTGCCTTAATGTTTGCACATAACTCTACCATATTCAATATACCTTTAAAAATAATTATGTGCGATAATTTTACTCCAGCCCCACACGCATTTGACGACACTACATATACTTTACAGCACCAGTAGCTTTGAAGGGTCCAGGGAAAACACCGTAGTGGACACTCAACTCAAAAACATTTACAGAGGGGTAAAAGTGCTCCAAAGACTTCTGGCTGACATGTCAAACCCATCCTGGATAGTGTGTTAATAAAGTGCCAGGAGGTGCCCTATTTAGCCTGCAAACAACTTTAAATAAAACACTGGAGCGCCGCAACAGAAGACGCTGACCTAGATTAAGATATACGTACTAACGCCGTTCCGTGCGGCACTAACAGATGCGTAAAGAAGCAGCTGACCTGCCCTTGATCCCCTCAGCAGCTGCAGTGAACGGAGCAGGTGATGAGCCTCACGGGACCTGCGGGAATGGAGGTTCAGAGGCCAGTCGCGACACTCGTCCACCCTTCAGGACCCCTGGAGAATCAGCCACGCGGCATCGCTTTGACAACAGCCATGTTACCAGACACCCGACTTGAGGCAGCCTGAACACATGCTGATCTCCTCCTACTACAAACCTCTGAGGGCAAATGGGAGCTCCACAAACAGTGAAGCCCCAAAGCAAGCTAAAATTTTAGTCAGGGGGAGACTGACCGGTGCCCCCGGCCACAACGATTAACATTCGGGCCAGTAAAAACGCAGAGCCGGTGGTCCGAGAGCCCTCCTGCCTTCAGGGTTTGTTTATTTTTCTCTACAAACCCCCACAATTATTACATAATCACCTAATCATAATCACCTGACATGGTCGCAATTATTTAAGCTGGCCGCAGTCATCTTCCACAGTCGTTAAGATTTCACAATCACTCGTAAAAAAAGACGGTTCCTTAACAAAGGGAACCACGAGTTCTATACAGAACAATTTCATGCTTAAAATGGTTCTTTGCACGGCAAAATGGTTCTTCAGATTGATGGAGAAAGTGCTGTATACGGTTTTCCTTTTGAAAATGGTTCCCCAAAAAGGGTTCTTATACTGTTATAATGTCAAGAACCCATTTTGTTGCTATATAGAACCATAAAATAGCTCTATGTAGAAGTCAAGTTCTAAACTGAACCATTCCCGTTACTAAAGAACCCTTTAAGAACCATCTTAAGTGTGATCACGTTGTGCTGCAACAAACAAAATAAATAAAACGCATTCATCAAAAGAAAGCAGCGCATGCACTCACGGAGAGATGATGAGAAAACGAGGCTGAATGTGTTTTTTTGCGTATATTTGCACAACTATTGTTGAAGAACGTGTAGCTCTGCTCAACTCTACGCATGATCGTGTGTAACTGTAGATGTATGTGAGTGGAGACTGACGGTACAGCCAGTGTAAGTCATTATGTAAACAGAGCTAACGAGTAAGGTGGCTAAGCAGCCAGTTTGGCCACTTTAGGCTTCTATTCTAATAGCTGCAAACCGTGAACAAGAAAAGTCCACTAAACCCTAAACCTCAATTATATATGACAATTAACCGTTCATGTTCATGACATCACTCCCCCGAGATAATCACACTCGCAAATACTCACAATTAATGACAAGCCAACTACAACCCCGTTCACACCTGGTCACTTTATGAGTATCAGGATTATCTTTATAAGGCCGAGACAAACACAAGTGTAAACTCACCCGTTTAAAACAGACACAAATCTCATCACTCAAACCACGTCAGGAGGTGGACTGAGACGCATTTGAGCCACATATTACAGCAGCGTAAACACATCCGTCTCTCCAAGACACATTCAACACCCGAAATGCCTCCCGGCGCAACCGAAACCCCCCTTCCGGCACAGCCAAAATGCCTCCCAGTGCAGCCAAAACGCCTCCTGGCACAACCCAAACCCCTCCCCATACAGTGAGTCACTGGTCTCGTGACCCGTGTCTGTGAGGAGGTTAATCAGGGTGGACGCTCCTGGCCGAGGACTAAACTAAATGCTTAACATCAACACAGACAGACATGACTGTACAAAACACACTGCAGACGAAGAGGCTGAACGGATAAACAGCTGCTAATTGGTCGCCGCATAACGAGCTGATTTGCATATTCCGTCCCACAGCAATCAGATTTCAGTCCGACTAACTGGAGACGCATTAGACTACCAAGTGTAAATACATGAGGCTAAAATCCTATCAGGGTACGATCCAGATACTGGACACAGGAAGTGACCAGGTGTAAACGGGGTCAACTTTTCACCCTGTTCACAACTGTCTGGATGGACACAGAACTAATTTCATTAAATCAGAATTAACTGAAACTCACCAACTGTAATGCTGTAGTCCAGCGCGACAGCTAACAGGACGATAACTGAACAGCGTTCTGGAACTCCACACATCTGCCTGAAGGCCAGTGTGACGGCTGGGTTTGAAATCTGGTTTTACTGCCAGCATCCAAACCGACCTGGATAGTGATGGTGATCACACTCTTAAAAAGATGGTTCTTAGAGGGATCATTAGTAAAGGCAACTGTTCTATTTAGAACCAAGAGTTCGACACAGAACCATTTCATGCCTGTATGGTTCTCTGAATGGTGAAACGGTTCTTTAGACTAATGGAGAATGTGCTGTATGTGGTTCATATTCTCCCAAAAAAGGATCCCCTCTTAGAAATCAGAGATCAAGATAATCCAGAATCCCAAAAGGGTTCTACTGGGGCTGGGCGATATGACAATATCTATCATTATTGTGATAAATGATGTCACAGTTCAATACTATATTCTGTTCTGAAAATGTCGTGTTTATCATCAGAACTTGTAGACAAATTAGTCCTGTTTAACTGGGTTTAGTGAGAAATACTGAATAAAAAAAAATTATTAGATTCTGATATTATTAAATGCACACTCTTAAAAAAGACGGTTCTTTAGTAAAGAAAATGGCTCTACATAGAACTATAAATACTCAAAGGGTTCTTTACATCGTGAAAGGGTTCTCCGCATTGTGAAAGGGTCCTTCGCACCGTGGAAGCGTCCTTCAGATTGATGGAGAACGTGCTGTAGATGGTTTGATATGGAACCTTTTTTAAAAGGGTTCTATACAGCACCAAAAACGGTTCTGCTATTGTGACAATAAGCTTGTGACAATAGAAGACCTCTGTGGTTCTATACAGAATCATTTCATTACTAAAGAACCCTTAAAGAACCT